AAAAATGAGAGCATCTGATAGAGCGTAACATCCCTGTCAAAATTTGTAAATGCTGAACAGACTTTACTCGTATATTTTATATCAAGTAAAATTTTTGTTGATGTTTGAATCGGCTGTTTTGGTTGGAATTTAAATTTTTGTATTGTTTATTTGCACGGCACTATTGTTCTCATCAGACTTTACACAAAGCTGATCCATAAAAATCTGTAAAAAGCGTAATTTGGAACTTACGCTCTCAGTTTATATTTTACTTGTGTTTTGAGTTTTACTAAGAGTAGCTTGTGAAACAGACCTAGTATAACACTCGTTCAAATTAAATCTCAAATAAAGAAAATTGCACAATTGACTATCCCACCAAATAACAGTGAAATATCTAATAAACAATTTATAATTCAGTATTTCATTAGGTCGCATGATTAATATGTTTCATTTAAACTAAGATAATTACAGAATCGAAGTTACTACTTTCAGTTAAGAGAAACGCATAAACAAATGTAAAAAGAAACAGATAATGCAAATAGACATAATTAAAACCATCGATCTGATCAATAATATATGGCCTTTAATACCCTAAAGATACATTCATGTAATATATAATTTATTATAACAATTTAATTTTAAAAGTAATTAAAATTATTAAAAATAATTTTTTGAAAATTATTTATGTATACATAAATAGATATTTAAAATATCATTTATCGTAAAAATTAGTTTTGAAATCTACTTATATAGTTGTATGGAGAGAGTTTCACTGAACGCGCACTGTTATAAGATAATCACACAGCAACAATTGTGCTCTTTTTTGTGCGCACCGAATAATGATGGTCAAAAATTAAAAATTAAATGCACTTGTATTATGCAGTCTTATACAAAATGTTATTTCTTTTTTGGTGACTAGATAAAATGTAATAGTTTTGGCACTTGCAAATTTTACAAATTGTCAACACAATAATTGAAAACAATTCAAAACTGCTCAATTCTTTCTATTTGATGAAATTTTCCTTTCTTACATGTTATTTAAAGTAAGTTTTATTTTTATTATGATTTATGCCGTTCTTTAGCTGTTCTAGCACTTTCGTTTTGGACTAAATATTTTATACTTTTTGCTCTGTATTCGTTTACAAAATTTCAAAAGAGGATATTACCTTATATTTTTCCTACTATGGACGTGTGCGAGTAGGGTGGCTCACGTTATAAGGGGGAAAATTAAAAATGAAGTTTTGAATGAGCACACCCCCTAGGAATATGCTATTGACCAAAAAAATGATATTCCCAAAGTTTTGGACCAATAGGATTAAAAATGACTCGAAAGATAAATCTTCTCGAAAGATATGCAGATAAGACAGTGCTACCGAATCCCTGCTACTTACAGCGTCTTTCACGGTGAGATATATGCTATCGAAAAAGAAGTCAACATTAGACAATGAAGTAAAATTCGTCCTTCGAATATCACTATTTTTGTAGATAGGCCGCACTGAAAGCAATTGAATCTAAATTCCAAGATAGTATTAAAATGTCGCGATTCACTGTTGAGCATCAAACATCATACGGTCTCTCTTTGTTGGGCATAATACATTTCGAATATCCTCTTCTGGCTTGGAAGAGATAACGAAAGCAAACTTATTCCATCTCCTGATAAAATTTTTTGAGGGCATCCCAATGGGCAATATATGTCTCCGAGTAGAAGTGCTGACAACTCTCAGCACGTGCCTTCCGAAAATAACCTAACCTAGTGTGGGTTAAAATTTTCGCACATAACATATGCTCACCATAAAAATGTATATATCTCGTACAAATCATCCGAGTTATATGTAAATTGATCTCTTAAAATATACATTTTTAGTAAGTACATAATTTTCGGCATCCATCGAGAATCTTAGATGGCACCTGGGCGTCACAGGTAACCATACCTACTACTACAAAATATGTATAGCGTAGCGATCCGAAACCTTGCATTTGTCAAGGGCGGAAACTAAAATAGGAGTGATAAATTTAATCGTTCTATCTGCGTTATCCCAATTTTGTTGAACTGTGATTAAAGATTCAGCTTCCATTTTGAGACAAATTTCTTCATCGAATTCTTTCCAATTAAAATCAATGAAATTTTTAGCCGCTCTTGCTTCGTTTGCTAAAAGGATATTAACTTCAGTCATACTCCCTGTACGACCATTTTCTCTTTACTTACGAAAAAATTCTTGTTTTCAACATTTTCAATTCTACTTAAATGTCTATATAAATTATGAAGTAGAAATTTATTATTTTTATTTTTTATTTATGTTTCTTCCGTTTCTTGTAAACATTTGCGATTACATTGTGCATGCCAGCTAAAAGTTATGAAATAGAAAACAGAGCACAGTCGCTCCACTAATTATTGTGTTTCGCGCATTATTTTTAACCGATTTTGCTCATCAGTATCTTATTAAAAAGACATTTTAATTATCTATCAAATGAGTATATATTAATAACTGTTGAAATAAGATAAAAGATAAAAAATGACCTTGAAATGAAAAATTTCTGTTTTTTGTACTGAAAACCCAACTTTGCTCGAGTGGCGCAACGTTCCTATTGGTCCAAAACTTTAGGAATATCATTTTTTTGGTCAATAGCATATTCCTAGGAGGTGCGCTCATTAAAAATCGCATTTTAGTTTTTCTGAGCCACCCTAGTGTGCGAGTTAGGCTAACTTGATGCTAAACCAAATGGGAAATTTTTTGGGATTTCTTGCACTGTGTGCAATTTATCTATTTATCAACACGTATCGATACATCACTACATTATCGGCACAACTTAGAATTTCCTTCATTTATAACGCAACTTCGCCTAACTCGCACATGTTTATAATATACAGTTTATTCTTAATTCCTGGAAAAAGGTTATGTATTATATACAGAAATAACTATCCACGTATTTTTTTAATATGTATTTATTACAATAATTATAGAAGAATTAATTTTCTAAATTTTCGAAATTATAATGTGGAGCAAGAAATTAAAATGTACACTATTTTACCATATTCATCTGAATGTCATTAATTTTATAATTCTTTATTATTAATAGACATAAAAGGTAACACAATGAATAATAATAAATCACAAACATTTAACAAGTTGAAAAAAAATAAAGTAATATTGCCAGAAACGGTAGCTGCTTCTTCTTCTAAAAGCAACAGAAAACAATAATTTAGCTGTAATATTTTCATTTATTTCGGTTCATATGAAAATACTTATTTACAAATTAGGACATCTGAAAATATCAGCGTGATCAAAATAACATAATATAAAAAAATCAATTTTATTTTTTCTTTAATCTCGAAAGTTCTAATTTCTGCTGCATTAAACTCATTTTTTTACTAATCGTTTGGTTCACCAGCTGTTCCTATAAGAGTTTCTATTCGGAAATCTTTTGCATTATTGTGTTTGCTGGATTGAATGATGGTACAGCTTACATTTGTCTCATTGTACATATCGCTATCTACGCTTCTTCTGCATTGGCTATGGTTTTCACTAGGAGTTGAGGATATCAATATGGAGCTACAAGAAACCTCAGCATTGTCAAATAGTAAATAGTAGGGCGAAGTTCGTTTGTGGTTTAAAGATGTGTTTTTCTCCTTTTTGGTAATGTTATTGACTTTAGTTATGAGTTCTAAATTATTAGTAGTTTTCGCAACACTTTCAACCGAATCGGAAAGATGTGAGTCATGTTCTTGAGAGCATTCGACATCAATTCTGTCACAAGATTCATTGTTTTCATCTGCAAATACACTTTCATATTGGAGAAATTCATTCGGTTCCTCTTTTCTATTCATATAGTGGTTTTGGTTAGTTTCCATGCTGCTTAATTTTCGGCACTTATCATTTGATCTTACAGCGCTGGTCAAATCACTAGCTCGTCTTGCGAAAGAGTTATTTTGAAAAATATCAAATTTATCATTATTTCGATATTGTGAGATCTCAGAATTTGCAAAAAAATTGAATTTTTTATCTGCTATTATTGCGTGGTGCATTGTATCATTTGTGGAATTGACCATGTCGAAACAATCTCTATTATTAGTAAAATTTGGTACGTTGAAATGGACTGGAACAAGCGGCACTGGTTTTCGAATCCAAAATGGAGAGAGTGATCCAAAAACTGTTGGAAACGAAAATCTTTGCATTGCTGGAGCTCTCTTATATCGCTTTCTTCTACGCAAAAAACTGCCATTATCAAACATGTCCTCAGCTAGTGGATCTAATGTCCAAAAATTTCCCTTTCCGGGATTTCCAGGTTCTCGTGGTACTTTTATAAAACAATCGTTTAAACTTAAGTTGTGACGAATTGAGTTTTGCCAGGCGGGAAATTTTTCTTTATAATACGCAAATCTGAAAGAAGAAGTAAAAAAAGGAATTAAAATTTATTTCACTAAATTAAAAAACACAGTAGTTAATAAAGATACCAAAAGTAATACAAAATTATTGATACATGTTTCTAGAGGAAACAATTATTAATATTAATTATGTCTTATATTAAATATTATTTATATTTCTGTACATATGTGACATGTGTGAGAAAAGTGTTGAGGTTCCATCTGTCAGCTATAACTTCACATGTGGTTCTACGAGCTCAAAGATAAAAGTCGTTCTAAAATTTCAAAACTGTCGTTGCTGGGATGAACATCGAAGAACTGCTGTGCTTGCTAATCTTGGACTGAAAACGCATTCACGTAACCACGAACATTTCACTGAATATGTACATAATGTAACTCATATCTTATTTGTATCTGCTCATTTATACCGAAAAGTGCCACTTTTTTGAAAATAATCAAAACAGAAAACATGTTGCGAACAAAATGCAAAATATCCGCCTAATAGAATAGGTCATAAAAATATTGCTGAGCTCGCTAAGGTATACGCATGTTTGAATTTTCATTTGAAAGATTTAAATAAAACATGGTAGGATCTGCGTAGATTCAAACCTTCTAAATATAATATATATCAAATTATGAAACATCACTTTACTATTAAGACTTGGACTGAAAAGTCCAAAATTCTAAATTAAAAAAGGTGAATGAGTTCTAAACATACAAAAACTGTGCTTTCAGCATGTCATGTTATGGCTGCTTGGGGTTGCAAACGATATGTTGCTGCTGGACTTGTACCGCAATTGCAGAAAACAATTGAACCGTTAATTAAAGGGTCTTTTCATTGGTAGTCTTCAAAATTTGTATTGATTCTGCTTATAGCACATTATAGCTGATCCATACTATGCCCAATACAGTTTAATTAGTATTCAATTTTCGTTTAGTTTCTTTTTGTGACTGATTAGATCGACCAGATCTTGTGACTGATTAAACTTTTTCGTACATTGCTAGATGATCTGCAGAATAGGGAACAAAGACATCTTAGTGGTATATATTTTTAAAACCATTTTTGCTTTACATGATGACTTTGTGCTTTGGAATCGCAGAGAATTTTTTATAAGTAATACTTTCAGTATTAAAAGTTACATGAACTTCTTTCCCTTACATAATTGCACACAAAAGATATAACATTAACACAACTTGCGGCCTTCTGCACGATCCTACATACGCTCCTAGTGACTGTTAATTTTATTTAAATATTACCTCTTTATTGAAAATAGTTTAATGCTTTATTAAAATAAAATCCGACTTGATATCAAAATTTTTACCAATAGTCTTTGTTTTGTTTCTAAGTAAAAAGCATTCGAATGATTTAAGTTAAGCAAGAAACATCCAATTCGATATAAAAAAGACGTATTGACTAGTTTGCAGATGCACCATATCAACATAAATACATTGGTTGATGCAAACAATGTCGTGTTATAGTTCGTACAGCTTATCGTTCAACCTACGGTAATTCGATACTTGTTGCCCAAGCATAAGGGACCCTAAATTTTCCGAGAAATTTTTCTCTCAAATGATCCTAACATCTGACATTTCTGTTGGTAATTGTCCATGCTTCTGCACTAGACAGAGACATGATAAGAGACATGTTGAGCGTCATTTTTGTTCGTCGGGCGAGGGCTTTATTTTTCAATTGTAGGTCTTAAGATATTCAAAAAGTTTGTTTGTTGTTGTTTGCATTTTTTTTTTCTAAGTTGAAAAAAGCCGCATCGGCGGCACGGTTGTTCAGACCAACAGTATCAACTTCATCGGCATAGGCAACCAGCACCACCTTTTTGCAAAATATTGTATCAGGAAGATTCAAATTTTCTGCTTGGATTATTGTTTCCATTAGATTACAAAAATCACACTACAAGAAATCACTCTGTTTAAAATCTTGCTAATATCTTGAGCATATTTTTCTAAGTGTTTCAACAGAAGCTGTATTGACCGGAATTGTGAGCATAATTTTGGTTATTATATAAACATTCGGACATACTTCCTCTAAATTATTTTCTTTAATATTCCGGATAAGTTGCTTTATATCGTTGATTGAGTCTTGTGAGTTAAAAGTAGCAGTTTCTCATACAGTTCAAAAGCTGATTGTCGATGTTTTCACCTTTCCGAATAATGTCATAAATAAAACTAATTGACAGTCGATATCAATTATGATAGCATCTATTATGTGGTAAAAGAGTTTATTTTATACTGCATTTCAACGGATTGTATTGATTAATCAAAATGTTCATAACTAAATAATCGTTTCTCTCTCTTCTTTGCTATTATTTCTTCTTTAAATTTAGGTGCAATTTCGTAACTACTTTTTTCTTCAAAGAATTGGGAGTGTTCAACTGTTATTCAAATACAGTATTTCGATAGTACTTTACCCAGGTATGAAATCAGCGTAGACTGTCAATAGCGATCTTCAAGCTTACTTCAGTCACTTGCTGTAGTTTATTTACCATATATTGTTCACAATCGCTTAGAGGTCTAGAGTCATCGGTTTTATTTCTCAGGTCATTCACGCATTCAACAACATCATCAAATTGCAAAAATATAGCTTTTATTGCTTCGATTTGACTCTCCCATTTTGTTTCAGAGAGTGATTTTAAGGTTAATTTTAATTTGGTTTTTGCAAGTTCCCAACGCTTGTTCGACTTTGAAAAAAGAAAGAAAATGAGCTGCATCAATCAAAAGCAAATTCCAATTGTTGCATTCACCTGACGTGAAAAGTTTTTGATTTACTATTCAGGATTCTTTTTCCAACGTCTCTACAAATGCCGACTATATTGGGACCGTCATCATAACCCTATCCTGTTAAGGGCACTCTATGTGCCGTGTTTATGCAGTGATCGAACGCACTTGCAAAGGGAATTTTTCTGCGATTTGAACTGCAAACTTATGATCACCCAACAACTATATAAAATTGATTGAAAATTAAAGAAGTTGAAGCTGAATACTATATTTTATTTCATAGTTTATTGCCTTTGAATAAATTATTATTAATTGTTAATAAAAGTTTAATTATACTACAATTAATTTGGGGGCTCAACCGTGTTTGCAGGTGCTAAAAGCAAGTAAGGCATTGTGCATTCTTTAGAAGAAGTTAAGCTGCGCAACTATAAAGTAACAAGCGTCGGCAGCAGGCAGAAATAGAAGAAATTAAGCTGCGCAACCACAAAGTACTTAGCGTCGGCAGTAGACAAGAAGAAGAAGAAATTAAGAAGTAAGAAAAATAAGAAATTAAGAAGCAAGAAGAAGAGGAGATTTAGAAACAAAAATATTAAAAAAAAAGATATCTGTGATAATCACATCACAAAACAAGAAAGTAAGGTTGAGGAATTGAAAACGAAGCTGTGTGCAGAAGCCTTGTCTACATCAGGCAGGAAAGTAGACTTGCAAAGAAGGCTATTGGTATATTTCGGATTCGCGGATGAAGAGGATGTGTCTGTATATGATATGTCTACCTCCAACGACATACTAAGATATTCTAATATGCTAGAAAAACAATCAGCAGTATTTGGGCATCCAAGTCGTATAGTATCTGATCGTGGCACAGCGTTAACGCAAATGCATTCGAGGAATTTTGTAAGTCAAGAGGCATCCAACATGTCCTTACTTCAACTAGAGTTTCAGGGGTAATAGGCAGGTAGAGAGTATTCATCGAATAGTGGTGCCTATGCTAGCTATGTCAGGAGAAACCTACATTGTGGTACAAACATTTTGACAAAATTCAATTACTTATAAACAACACTTCACTACGTAGAATAAAAGTAACGGCGTTAAAATTTTTAACAGGAGTCGAAATGAAAGCTAACAACGCGACGAACTGAAAACATTATTCAACTAAGAGTTATTAAACGAGCTAGATGAAGAAAGGAATAAGGTTAGGAAAATGGCAAAAGAAAACATCCATAAAATGTAACAAGAAAACAAAAAATCGAACGATTCAAAGCGCAAAGAGGAAAGGAAGTACACAGAAAATGAAACAGTGGCAATAAATACGTTTCAGGGATGAAACTTAGACCAAAATACTTGGGTCCGTATAAGGTCAAATCTCGGTCGCTACAAAGTCTAGTGATCACGAAGATCCGCGTTCGAAAATAGCCATCGCAGAAAATATGAAGGCATGGACCGAGGCGTCTGGGTTGTACGCTCAGTCAGGATAGTCCAAATGTAGGACACTGACAGCAGTGTCAAAAAAGGCGAAGGAAGAAAGAAAGAAGTAGACCAAAGAAGTTGAAGCTGAATACTACATTTTAATTCATAATTTATTGCCTTTGAATAAATTATTATTAATTGTTAATGAAAGTTTTATTATACTACATGTATTTTATATACAATATTGTCTTTACCACACAGTATACCGTAAAACACTCTATTTGTGATTAAAGACGCTAAAAAACTTGAAACTGATGTTGCTATTGTTGTTGTAAATTTTAAGGCTCACCGAAAATTTGTTCTCAATTACTACAATATATGTAGTAATTTCTAGTAATATATGTAGAAAGTTTTAAACATTTTAAAAGGTAAATGAGTTGAGTGACTAGCTCGAAAGCCATACTAATAAGATCCAATCACATCCTGCGACTTCAACTTTTTATACACTGCATCTTATCTACTTGAACTACACGCGTTTTGTTACACAAATCTCTCTATTGAAAACAATAGTTTATATTAAGACTTAAGTTTCTTTCGTCTAAAATTATATTAAAAATTAATTTAAAATACAAAATCATGTGCAAATAAATTGTTACACCCATTCCGGAGCACTCACAGTGTGTTGTCACAAATAGCCAACTATTGAAGAATGGACGTAGTTAGTTATTGTGTTTATATATTTTGATCAGTTTTCTAATAGAATTGTTTATCTGATTTAAGATTATTTTGTATAATGAATTTCTGGTTTTGCAACGTCTATGTTTTTCTTTCCGACTCTCCTTAATTAGGTGTACCTATTATCTCAAGTAAATTGTTATA